GCAATTTAATACAAGGTTTATTATAAATTATATAATATATATAATTTATAATAAACACATATATAATATACACAACATTAAACGAAAAATAATGATTAATAAGTTATTTTGCTGTAGTTACCTAGTTAATTTAGTATTATTCTTAGGTACATGAAACTTTTCGCCATTACTTTTATTATAGTTTATAACTATAACTCAAGACAATTTAATTTCAAAAATATTTAAATTAATTTTAAGCCATTTTTATACGATGAGGCTATTTATATCATTATACAGTATGCCTGAATTATTCGTAAAGGTATAAAAAAACTGGATGTATTATATTGATAATTTAAGTAGAAACAAACATGGTAGATTAAATTATTTTTTAAATAATGAATAATAATATTTATAATAATAACAAACAGAGCAATAATAATATGAATTTAGAAGTTAAAATACCTATATATATTAATCCATTCAAATATTCAATAGATTCAGGGTATTGAAGATATTCTAGAGCTTAATGTTGAATTTTCTCTTTGGTCAGTCTCGTGTGGTATGCGCATATAATTTAGTTAGGGAAACCGCAGTTACTATAGCTTGAATTATGAACAAAGGCCCATTTGTGCACTACGTTCTCACATCTCCCATATCTTGTTCGAATACGGTTGTCTGTATTGATTAATACGTTAATAACAGCTAGTAATATAAAATAAAATCATTTTACAATAATTGTTATAAAATAATATGGGCGATTTTTTCCATCCTTCAAACGACCGTAATAATATTTATACTAATAGAAAAATAAATTGATGATTATATCTGTCAAGGAGTTTCATCACTGGATGGATTCTTCCTTCAAGCCTCCAACCCATCAACTCCACAGCGCTTGTAGGTACTTGTTGTAAAAAAATTGTATAAATAAATATTGTAACAAAAAAAAAAATAAAAATAAATTACTTATGAATTTATGATATCAATATAAATATATAATATAATAAAAAGTACCTTTTGAATTATTGGCTGATAGATCGTCTTTGCCTAGAATAATTATATTTTGTGTGCCAAAATTTATCATTGAATTCAAATTTCAAATTTAACACATCCATTACAGCTAGTGAGTGACCTTCTCAACCATGAGATACACTCAACAGATTCTATTCAGCAGAGCAAATCTCCCAGGTTTTTTTTATAAAATATGTATTGTGGAATCTGATCTTCAAAAAAAAAATGTACAAACCATATTTTTCTAAGATTTAAATAAAGGAAAGTAATACAAATAGAATATTTTGATTGAAATAAACACAAAATAACAAATGCATGACTTACTAAAGGTATATAAAAAAGGTGTGTCAGCTCAATTTAATGGAGAGCTGAATAAATTATTAAAAAGATAGAAACCAACTTCTAGAAAATAATATATAAACATTTTATATAGGTTCAGCTATCGTTACTAACCATTTAGCACTATTCAGGTGTATTGAAAAAATCAAAACATTTCAACTTGATGTCAAACATTACCGAGGATGTGGATGACTCCGTAAATTGTATTTGGTAAATTAAACATTTACAATAAAACAGTATTTTATGAGTCACTATTTTTTAGTTAATTATTGATTATCTTTGAATAATGCAGTTTGCAATAGTAATTAAAAAATGTTTGGGGTGGAGGTTGAAATTTATAATTATTAATTACACAGTACTACAGTAGCATTTTGAAAGGACTTCAATTCTTTAATCCTTATAATAGCACATTCCGAGGGAGACTTACGAGTATCAACTTACGATGTATAACTCGACATGCCATTTACCAAATGTTATTGTACAGGCAAGTTATATAGATACGTTTTCACTTGAACATGTTTTTGTTGTCGATACAATATATTATTATAAACACTTAAAACACTGAAGAAATTTGTGTATAAAATATATATTATAATAATTAATTACGTTCACGACTGAATGCAAGTGACTTTATTCTTGCGGATTTAAATAAGTAACGAACACGTATAGGTACGTATTAATATATTAGAATTCTACCTTTCAATAAAGGCTATATTATATTAATCAACTCTCATTGGTTTCATGCGATTACGGGCACTACGCACACGGCGCCACTGTTATATAGTCTCCCGCTATGAATATAATATTATACAGTTTGTCACTAATTGCAGTGTGCCATTAATACAGAAAATTTACGATTGAAAACGCTTACAGGATTTGGCCGTCGGAAATGCAAGTGCACTTTAGTTCGATGGCCATAAACAATTTGATGTGTGAGAAACACTCGGCACGGTTTAACGGTTAAAAACCTTTTGCCTGTATAATATTATTATTATTATTATTTAGAGATGTGCTCGCGAATGGTTTCGTGCTTACATATTTATTGTGTACCTATTACAAAACGTATCGATCTGATTTTTGCGCACATTGGTCGTGCTATGCGAGTCTTAAAGACGCTACCCTATACCCGTCACCAACACAAATAAATAAATGAAAGCCGGATATGTACGTCGACCTCTAATTTTCAGTAAGCTCGCTCATCTTGACTCGGAATGGTTATTTATTTTAAATGTTGGGATGTTAAATTTGAAAGTGTGTGTAAAGTTATGTGCCAAGTTAAAATCACTATTGTCAGCATTTCGTGACGTTTTCTGGGCACCACACCATAGGCGTGCCCACGAGGTATGCAGGGTATGAGCTTACATATTCTGCGACGCTTGTTTTAGGGGGCACATAAACTCAAACAACGCTGGACTCTCAGTTCATAATTTCGACAGGCGGTAAATTATATAAACGATATGGGCTTGTTTTTAAATTTACTGTGAGCGGTTCTCAATAATTTAAGGCCTTTTAAAACGCCGTGGGACCTTTGTTCTTAGAAAGAGATAGCTAATAATTTGGGATACCCATATCTTTATTGGTTTATGACGGTATTTATAGACCATTGATATACACAGGCAGCAAAGCGGCATAGACCCAACCTGGGTAGATAACCGTGGATAACAGTGATCAATTTATAAAAAATATCTTTATCATGCGTTAGTAATCAAGTAACTTATCAATTATCCTACCTCAGTTGTTTGTTCTGCGCAGTGCGAGAAATAAAGAAAATAAATCCAGCATAATAGGTATTATATAATTATATACTATGGTAATTCCTAGGGTATCTTTTATAGTCAAAAAATAAGAAAAACTAACTATTTTCTAATAATAAGTAGTAACCATATGTGATATGTTTATAATGAAATAATGTAATATAATGTACCACTGTACCAGGGGGTGAATCCAGAAATGTTTTATTGGAGAGTGGAGATGAGGCTACAAAATTGTCTTTATACTTACGACTAAGCTGCCTAAATTGTAACATAGTACATAAAAGCTTAAAGCAACAAAAGCTCCATGTATAAAAGGAACAATTAGATCCATAATATTATATACATAATACAATCCTATTTTTAGTGATTTGGTGTGGTGGTGGTGGGGGGGTAGAGCCTTCTTTGCTTCCCTCCTTGTATCTCGGCCTGCCATGTACATTAATTTAAGAGCATTTATATCATGGAGCACATTAGATCAGCCGCTTACCCTGTGAACAAAGTCTGTGCACTCCTGCAATTATGATACACACGCATGTCTGCTTGACTGCGTAATTCCTGAATTCTTTTCGTGCTCAGCACAACTAGGTAGGTATATGGACAAAATCGAAAAATCTTCTTTTTACCTTTTTGACTCCTGATTTCTGGTATTCATCTATAGTTTTATAGTTATGGTATAGCTATCAATGCCCATTTTTGAGCAATGCAGATTTGTATGACCGAGAGTTCGTAGATAGTAATTATAGGATAATAATAATGCAAAAATGATCATCGAAAAACGAATAAAATCAAATTTTCACTCGGAATCTAAAATAAAAAAATTATTTTGTCGTATAGACTGTCGGTGTTGTAAAATTATAAAATAAATAAAATCATCACTGAGAGTGTGTATGGGCGTGTGACCATATTATAGAGTAGAGCAGTAAAACCCCTATATATTATAGCAATTTTAGCGGCACATATAAAAGCGTATACATAATAATATTATAATATGTAATTTTAATCGAAACGCCGCTCTAAAACGTTTATCGTTATTCGTTATAGTGTTTATTTCACATTAATTCGGTGTTTATTCTCGTACAGAGAATATGTATATACGATATATGCATATATAGATATGTGTGCCTACTCTCTTCAATATTCATGGGATACTTTGGACTGTGGACAAAATATGTGTACGTCCCTTGTCGTGTGGCTTAACATGGGACAATGTACAATTATTTTAAACAATAGAAACTTTAGAGGCTGAACTTTTCGAGAATAATTTATATAACACATAAAATTACTTCTGAAATCATAATATATATCGTGTTCAATATTTATAATTTATGTAGAAGTTGCTACAAAAATATATATATTGAAACTGAGAGACGAGAACATGGAATATCCAACATTCTGTCAAAAGCCCTCACCAGAAGTTTCAAGTCGGACAACTTAAAATGCAAGATAACCTTTATTATTAAGTCTAATTTAATTAATTGATTATAACTTGTATAGGTATGCACATAAATACACAATGTAATTTATTATAACATGTAAAAGTATGTCAATTCAGTACAGCCAATGGTCATAGTCACGATTAATAGTTTAATCATTAATAAAAACAAAAAAAAATATTAATATTATTTTCCTTTTACTGATGAATCTCAGTTTTAACACTTTCACTTAGGTATTGTTGAATGATTTTTTTCTTATAACATATCTTAGGTAGGTATAACAGGTATGTATCTACATATTAATATCGTGTATATAATTGGTAGGTAGTTCCGAAATCAGGGCCTTATATTTAAGCAAGGACATTATGGGTATTTGTCCAGGACACATGCAAATGAAGGGTCCATCACATCGGTGGATGTGGCGACTGTCCCTGAAATTAACATCCGAGCAGCGTATGATGACACGGTACAAACTGAGACCCTGACGATGCCAGTGGCGATGCCAGTTGTATGCGAAGTCTCGGTGGATGTGGTGACTGTCCCTGAAATAGACATCCGAGCAGCTTGTAATGACACGGTACAAACTGAGACCCTGACGATGTCAGTCGTATGCGAAGTCTCGGTGGATGTGGCGACTGTCCCTGAAATGGACATCCGAGCAGAGTGTGATGAGACATCTGCGGTACAAGCTGAGATCGTGACGATGCCAATCGTTAATGCGGGCCAGCCGGACACGGTTCAGGACTCAGGTAATAACCGGAAAAACGGTAAATCAAAGATTCCGTTCGTTTTGGTCCCGCATTAAGAAAAATGTTAGGCGTGCATTGTGCTGCGGATGTGTAAAGTACCAATAAGTGGCTCTTGTGGCTCTTGTTGCTTTGTATACTACCATGGGCGCCAGGTTTTCCAATTTTCACGGGGTGCCTAAAATCCTAAATTATTTAACTTGTACCTAATCAAAAAAAAATCAACAAAGAGTGTTAAATTAAACAAATTAGTTCCTCTTTTATTGACTTTATTTTTCTACATTTTTACAGCGTAAGACAAATACATTATAACTTATATACAAATTATAGCACTATATAGCAAAAATTTCTAAGTTTCTAATAATGAATTAAAATAGCTTAACAAATTTCAAAGGTATTTTGTCTCACTTTGGTAGTCTTTATAAATTTGTTAGCAATATTTTCAATATTTATTTCTTCTTATTTATGTATATTTAATAATGCTACATCATTAAGGCCGTGTTTGCGTCATTGACCATATTGTTGACCTTAAAAATGTTTTTAAACGCCGAAGAGCAGAAAAAGATGGCTCAGCAGTACACGACGAAACTGGTACGGTTAACATAATTTTAATTAATTTTAGAATTTCTGGTACCAAATCTTGTAAGTACACTTCTTGTTTTAAAAAATCAATTGCGATTGACACTGATGATATATTAAACTTTTTTGCTTTAGCGACATCTAACATAATATTGCGATGCAATTCTAATTTTGTCCCATCGAAATCAGAGCCATAGTATTCAATCATAATAGATGTGTTTATTTTTTGAGGATCTAGGTACTATAAAGTTTTCTACTGTAGCAAGATGTTCAAGTACGTTGCTTTGAAACCTGTTATGCAGAGCAGATAACGTGGTATCAACACATTCAAAAAATAGTGCTTTATACTGTTCTTTAGCTGACATAAAGTAATGTTCCTGTCTCCCTTCGATCAAACGTTTTGGAGTTTTTTTTGTTTAGATAGCTTGACTTCACCTAAGCCTAGCTCTTCAGATTTATTAATTATAACTTCCCATAATTGGTCAAACCAGGATTTTCGTATTTCTTCTATAGAAATTATGAAAGCTTGAATTTTTAATCTTGCATCTTGAAAATGCAAAGATTTTTTTTGCAGTTCCGAATTTAAAACTTCTATTCTCTCAAAAATAAATATCATAATTTTCAACACAAAATAAAAATCAAATTTATAAAGTAGTTTCGAAAATCCACTAGGCTTAGCGCCTATTTCATTTTTTTCCTTGGTCAGCTCATCAAGAAATGTACGAAGTAAATTATAAATATTTATATATTTTATTTATTCCATGGGGTGCTCAAGCACCCCAGCACCCCAATAGTCGGCGCCCATGTATACTACAAAGCTTGTTGCTAGGTACCATCTACAATTCTTAAAAGTAATAATACTGCAATTTGTTATACATATTGTTTACCATTTGTTAATATTTTTGTTTTTGTTTTTTATATATTTTTCATTAATTGTTTATTTGATCCATTGAATTGTTTGTCGTTCGCTAACTTATAATTATTATATCATATTGTTCAATGTATTACTAAAAAATATTGTATAATTGTACTGTTGTAATTTTGTGTATTATAATATAATCAATGCTAATAGTAAGATAGATATACTGTCTTACAGTCTATATACAGTATTTGCTTAGAATCGTTATTCGTAAACATTGATTTTATATCATTGAATTCAAATTTAACACACCTATTAACAATTTACGGTGACTTCTTTAGACACCTAATGTACATTGCAGCAGCTGAGAGTTACCCACTTGCCCCCTTTTTTGTAATTATTTTTATTTATTAGTACATTGTTATATTTTTCATTTAAAAAATGGTACCTAAAAGTACTTCAGTGGCTCAAGTAAAATAAAATAAAAAGAAGAATTAAAAAAATTAAAAAAAAAAAATTGTATCCTTTAGAAATCTTATCCAATAAAAATTACATCATTGCAAACATAAATTTCGGGAATGTTATTGATGTATTTTCAGAACAATAGGCTAGAAAACAATTATAAAAATTGTTATTTTGTAATATACCTATGCCCTACATTCGAATATTGTTTAATTTACTAATTATAATTTAATTTACAATTTATAAAAATAGGCCCGTTTTTTTTGCTTTGTCCCGGGCTTTAAAAATTCTAAAACAGGCTCTGTCCGGAATGTAATTTACGACCGCACATTTGACAAGTATACAAGCTACATGTTTTTCCAAAAGCTAAACATTTTTTTTTTTTTTTTTTTGAAGAAAAGTAAGTATTATTAAAGTCGATATACTTGCGATAAAGATCTATTCGGCGTACGAAGTAGGTACGTCAAGTTATTTTAGAGGATAATAACAGTAGCCAATAAGTATCAATATGATCAAAGATACTGCACCCATCAATACTTCAATAGATGATAAATAGTATCAATACAACAATACATTCTCTAGAGGCTTTCCCCAAAAATAATTCCGAATCATGTTAGTTTAAATTTTTTTCATACCAATAATCATTCGTATTTTAATTTACTACATTCCATTTGTACAAACATTGTAATTTTTTTTATTTATTAACATCTGTTACATTTCAGTTTGTATAATCCATTGACTTTATATTACTAGACAAGCAATGCTTGTATGGAAAGTGTAACAACATGGAAGGCGCTTTTTGATTATTCGATTACTCAATATGATGGTAGTGCAGGGTGGTAGGGTAATATATATAGATAGAGAGCCTGGATAATTTAATAATAATAATATTGATATATATGATAATATACAGAGGTTCTCCATATATAGATTATTGTATTTTGTCGTCAAAATCACTGCGAGATGTTGTTACGCCTCTCGTAATGCTGTTGTTATACATAGTTCTTGTCTAGTAGTAAAGGTCTATCGGTCTATGGTATTATAATCACTTATTAGTTAAAATGTAATGTTATATAATATACCTAATCACAAAAAGCAATGACATTGAAGTTGATTTAATTCTTATAGAATTCGTTCCAAAATTATCATACACTCTTGTACTCGCCGTTCAAAAAATTTTATATTTTGAATTTTCATATAATTTTACATTATGTTCCTACCTAAGTATAATAGTTATAGACTTTAGTAGTAAGTAGTATATATTATATAATATACTGAACAAAATATTGGAATTGTAATTATTGTATAGTTGACACCAGTGGCGTAGACATGATTTCTGAAAGGGGGATCAATAAAAAAAAAAAACGACATAGCTAATGGGAGGGAAAAATTAGAAAATCCCCCACCCTCTCAAAACTTTTTACTAAGGTAATAAAAAGCCAATGGGGGGATCTGAACCCCATTTCCCCCCTTGTCTACGCCACTGGTTGACACATTTAATAAGTAATTTTTTATAAATAATAAAAATGTATAATAACGCTCGTAATAATCACATCAACGTTCGATATAATATAATACTATAATAGTAATATAATACACAGTTAACGTAAGTCCTAAACTATTCCTATTGTTCAGTGTACAGACACATGACGTACTTAAATATACGGTTCAAGGTATTTTGGTCATTATATCAGTTATTTATCATTAAAATTAATTAAAAATTAAATTAAATTATTTGAAAAGTCCAAAGTATTAAATTTGTTTTTCTCTGAAGATACATTTATATTTAGTCTGCAATCAACAAAATACTTAAATACATAATACTATAATCAATTATTCAAGTGACTAGGAACTCTACAGCTGGTAATTAGATTACTGGTTAATAATAATACCTAGTAATAATATTTAAATTTAATGCAACATTTTAGAAATATGATTTTAGGAAATATTTTTCTTTTTTTAAATCCACAATTTTTATTAAAATGTACAATATTTTTTAGTTCACTTGAACAGAAAAAAAAGTGTTCAGGTATTGAATAGTTTTGCATGTGTGGGTGTCACGGTTAGAATTTTATATTGTAACGTTTTATATTTATTCATAATTATTAATTATAATGAATAATAAATAAGTTTCTGAAAACCTATAAAGTTAATTGATTTTCCATATTTTTGTGGTTTCTTATATAAATTAAAATTACCGTTCATTGTATTCTTTGCTAACCAATTTCCACTACTTTTCGAACTCTTCATAATATTTTTTTTACTATTACATTTTGAATATGTATAAAAAGAAGCCGAAAAATAATTAGAAAGACCAAGAAATACTTAAAAAATATAATCAACTCAACTACAAAGAAATTTATTATTTATTTATATATTACCTAATTTATTTAACAAAATATGGGAAGGTCCTTAAATAGTGCTGGTTAAAGTATAGTAGTTAAAAAAACAAATTATGTGAAAAAGGTGTTCGTAAAGTATGTGAATTTAGATTGATTTAGGTGTTATCTGGTATATGCTATGATTTTAGCTGCTTTCATGGTATTGTGCACATTTCAGCTATAAATTACGAATGCCGTTTTAAATGTAATCGTACTATACATACATCATACCTACCTATTATATTATTTATTTAATTATTGTTTTCATACATTTATAGCTATGACGTTATAAATGAATTATAGATTTATTAATCTAATTATTAATAGTTTACTTGATGTCAAACGGATTTATTTAAAAAACAAAGACAAAATTATTCAACTTACCTATTTTTAGTACATTTCTCAGAAATGGAGCTAAATTATAACTATAAAATATTAATTATTATCGTATAAAAATTTGAGTTTATTATATTCTGTATAAATTAATACTATACTTCTAAATTCTAATTGAAATTAACTCATTAAATTAACGTTATTTAATGCAAGTAATAAAGATGTCTCAAAATGTTAACGGTGAGGAAGGATGGATAATTTAAGTTTAAATCTGAATTTCCTGTTTAAAGATATATTACGATGTACCTAAGCTATCGTGGGTTACGCGTAATCCATCAATTAGAATACACACCTGGTTACCCAATTCTTATGTTAATGTTCTAGAGATATTTTGTGGGTTAATATTCAATGAAACATTAATTTTACATTATATAAAAAATAAGAT